TCTTAAGTTGTGCAAGAGGTCGGTTAGCATCAATTCCGTTGCATCGTTGTATTTTGTAATTATCATTGTCATTATCTATAATGACACAAGGCGTGTATTTATTATCTTTATTTTCAAGAATATTTGGTATAATTTCATCAAATCCTTCATCTAACTCATCATGTAATATAATTTCTTTTATTTCACTATTAAGGTCATAGTCTTCATTATCATCACCATCTAGTTGTAATATTTTATCTTTAACATTTTGATATGTATCGTTATCGAAGTTTAGAATAGAAAAGTTTTCGATTTCATCTACAGATTCACTATCAGAATCGTTATAATCAATGTTTTCTATCATTGTAACTGTGAAGTTTTATGAATTTAAATAATTGTATTTTTTATTTAAAAAAATTTAATTACAATAAAAAATTTTAACATGCAAGAAAAGACTTATTTATATTTATTGCTTAATTATTTATTGATAGAAAATACATTTTTTGCCTTAAATATCTAATAATATTGTATGCACAAATTGTTTAATATAAACCCCAAATTTTTAATAAGAAAAGTGTGATAAAAAGCTTTTGATACATCTAAAAAAACTTCCTATTTACGCGTTCTCGGAAAAAGTTTATTATATAAATCTGCTTATCATTTAGAAAATTCTTCTTTTCAGCATATCATTTTCAACCTGTAAATAATTCACCATACCTTCTTTCCCACTATTGGTGCATCTATTAAATATTAGAAAATCTATTTATTACAAGTTGATAAAACACAATTCATCTCAACACACTATTCTAACCTGTAAATAATTCACCATATCTTCTTTCCCGCATCTGGAATCGCATTGTCTCTTCAATAATACGCCCCTTGAGAAATGTTTATTAAATATTAGAAATCAATATTTATTACAAGTTGATAAAACACAAATTTATCTCATCATTAAGAAAATTCTCTTTTTCAGTACGCTATTCTAACTTGTAAATTCACTATACCCTTCTTCCTTCTATTGGTGAATCTGGAATCGTATCATCGTCTCAATAGCATGTCCCTTGAGAATGTTTATGATTATGCCACCAAATTAGAAAATCAATAATT